TCTCAAATGGATAAATAAAATCTTTAAAAAAAAAAAAAAAAAAAAGAATGATAGAAAAATCATTTATCAAGATTCAGCAAATTTTTTAACTGATTACATGTGTTCTCACTATATAGAGTATTTCAAACACAGCACAAAGTGTAAGTGCCAAATTTCTTTTCTGCTATGGAAAGACAAGCCTGTGTTAGGAAAACAGTTTTGTGCTTTTTGACAGTTGTGGAGTTTGAAAACCCAGTGATAAAGAATTTTTCTCCACCACCATGAAGAAGAAAGAAAAGATGAAGAAGAAGGTGGGAGCACCTGTCTGGCTCAGTTGAAAGAGCATTTGACTCTTGATTTTGGGGTCATGAGTCTGAGCTCCACAATAGGTGTAGAGATTACTTAAATAAATAAACTTAAAAAAAAAAAAAAAAGAAGAGGAGGAGAGACAGACAGAGGAAGTGAGGGAGTAATAAAAAAAGTTGGTTTCCCATCTAAGTGTAAAGTACTAAGAAACAGATTTTTCCCCTGGTATAAGAAAAACTTGGTGTTCTAAAAGACAATGATTTCTAACCTAGAATTCTGTACCCAGCCAAATTATCCATGAAGCATGAAGATAGAATAAAAACATTTCCAGATATGCAAGATCTCGAAAATTTCTCTTCTAGGCCACTTTCTCAGAAAGAAAGTGAGTGGAGCATGAAGGAGAAAACCATGAAAAAGGAACTCACGGAATCCAAGAAACAGGAGATCCAGCCCAGGAAAGAGGCAAGAGAAGGTGCCGCCGCAGCAGCTGCCCAGCAGGCCTGGAGAGGAATCAGTCCCAACCAAAGCAGAAGAACAGAGAACTGCAAGGTGGGGGAACGTCTCAAAAAAAAAAAAAAAAATTGAAAATAAGGTGATAGATTACCTGATATGTTTGAATCTCTTGAGAGGAAATTTCAGTTTCTGTCAGAGATTTTGTGGATGGATTGGTGATAAATACACAGAAAACTAAGTGTAGCCAATTTGTTGAACAGATGGGAACTCTGGGGTGTAGGAAGAAAGAAGTTTATTCTTGGATGCAAAGTTTATTCTTTGCATATTCAAATTGTTCTTCCCCCATACCCTTGAGTGAAGTGTAGGGCAAGTCTCATGGATTTTTTAGTCACTCTCAGGTAATAAAATTCTCTTGGTCACTTAAAACCTCCAAACAACCTCGGTTCAGTAATTCAAAAGTCCACGCTCATGCATTAAGCTGAACCATATGAAGTTGCCATTTGTGTGAGTCAAAAATGGTTGAATATTGGCAATTTCATTTGATTCACTCTAATAAGAGTCAAAACTCCCAAATTTATTTAAGATAAAATAATCTCTCCCTCTGCCACATAGACCTGCTTTAGACTGGCCACCTGAGGTAGAAAGGGAGGCCCAGTGGTCTTCTTTACTTCCCCGCAGGGCCTTCCAGCATCCTTCTCCATCAGGAGACTGTCTCTGGTTCCTCCTGGATAGAAGAGGCCTGTGTAGACAGGAGAGAAGACGCAGTATGGCATTCTCTGACCGTGGCAGAGGTTCACAATGGACTCTTCCTCTTCCAGGGTGCTTTTGACTTGTGTGATTTTTCCAGGACACTCCTCCATCCCCGATCCCTGAGCTCTGATCTGTTTTATGGGTGGGGTCTTGCTCAACCAGAACCCCTTGATTTTTTTTTTACTTTTATTTTTTTATTAACATGTATTTTTATTTTTATTT